CGCGAACATTGACATACTCATATTGTCTGGAGATCATTTCTATAGAATGAACTACATGGACTTCGTTCAGGTATTATCTAAACCTAAACAGGCCTGTTCATCATCACCTTAAATCCTCTTTATAGTTCCTTTAAATCGATGTGTTGGAACAGTCTCATGTTGATATTAATGCGGAAATCACTCTTTCGTGCGCACCAGTTAGTGAAATGTTGTTTTTTGAATCTCTTTTACGCCTTTTGTATGAAAACAGTGGTTCCTAAAGCCATACTTTTTGAACTCTTTAGCCGTGCATCGAATTTTGGAAAACTTATGGTTGGGCTCAAGATTTCAACTAAAATTATCTATTCTCAGTCCTATGTATGCGAGTTCACAAGTTTTAGCGAAAGAAAATCGTGGAGAGAATTTCTCCCTTTCAAGGTTACAGTGACCCAAAAGAGACAAAAAAATGTCTCTATCGCTGGAGAATACAAAATAGTCATTCCACCCAATCTGTTGTCATCGAGGTGCTGGTAAATCTCTTTTTATGAGTTTTGTTATCTTTGTTATGGTCACAGACTGATTTGGTCTAATTCCATGATTATTTACCTTTTCTCTTCATAATAGTCGACCTTGAAAGTTCTCTTTACAGAGAACTATGGTAGCTTGTGATAGTCCGTTTGTGACATTCCGTAGACAAGATGACCAGATCTTCTATTTACCTCAAGGACACAAAGAACACGTATATGTTTTGACAATCTTACAATAAGGTGAAATCAAAGGTAAAAAATTCTCGAGCTTTTATTATTTTATTAGACATTCTGGTGAAATCAAAGGTAAGACATTATCGAGCCTAATAAGATGTTTTACTTAACGTTTTGTTTTGGTAAGATACACTTTGAATCTACAATGGTGGTATTGTAACAGGAACCAGAGACTTCTTGAAAATGATGAACAACAGCTATTAAGATCTTAATCTGTTTCAGTTTTCTGGTTTGACGTATGATTTCTTTGATCCTTATAACATTCTTAAAACATTGGTAGTTGGCTTTGAACTATCAGAAATAAGTGTGATTCCTCGAGGCAATCCTGGTAAGGAGCATTGATAAGTTGTTCTATAAAATGACATAATTCCTCATATTAAGATTACTCATGTTATGTCGATTCAATGTCGAGGAAGTGTGTTTTTATAATGAGCCATGGTGAAGATGAATGTACTAGAGAAAGGTTAATATATAGAGAATAAACTATAGAGCATGTATGTTGATATAGTCATGAAACGATTTTTGGTTGGTTTAAGTTAGAATTTGGGATTCAAAGTAGTGATCAACAAATACGGAGATGCACGAGAAGAAGAGGAGAATAACTCATCCAAGTTTATAAGAATGATTGAGAAAAATACAAGACAGAGAACAGTTTTCATGGTAGATGAAGAACACTAAAAGAATCATGATAGATGTGGAGAGAGAAATGTCAAAACTTTTATCCACGAAATTCACAATATTCCACGTCAAATATCATTGGTGGAAGTACTTCATCATATTACAAAATTTAGAGATGCATAATTATATGTTAGACTATATGTTTATAATTGATTTTATCCTAATAGGATATGTAACGTGTTTTGTTTTAAGACAAATTATGATTTCAGTTTTATGGACATGTTCTCGATAAAATTATACCAAAAATTTGACTCCAAACCTTAAACTCTAATTTAAAATTTCTCTGATTAAAGAGAAAAATATTTTAATAAGTTTGACTGATATCTCATGATTTTGAACTTTGGAGACGGAGACGTTGAACTTTCGGATGCAAAAGCAACAAAGTAAATTCATCGTTGGTTCAAACTACATGAGAGGCGCACTTTTGTGTTCTCAAACCCTAGAGGCCATGGTGACAACATTCGGCTGAGTAAAAATTTAAGCTTTTCATCATATGTTTTCATGGAGATTTTGGGTTTGGTAAATCTAAATCTTGGGTAAATCGTTCGTTATTTAATTAAATATATCTTTAATTTGTTTAGAATATTAAAAGTATATGTGGAAATTTTGATTTTTGCCATTACTTGAGTTCTTTATTGTTCAACTTTGTTTTATTCCAATAATTGGTTTCATAGCTCTCTTTCACGTGTTTAGATGCTTTTTTATTCATATGTATGTACTCTATTATAAATCTCATTTTATGACATAAATAAGTGGATTCATTCTAAAATGTAATACACATGAAATGAGAAAAAGATAAGGAGGAAGAGGCTCATCAGACAAGGTTTATAAGGTTTGTCAAATATGTCAACGATGAATAAATCATTGAAGATAACATAAAATGCTATTCATTGTTAATTGATCAGATAGAACAAAATAATCTGCGTTGGCAAAAGCACATATGGAGATTGAACAAAAATATGAATAGGTCAGGTGCTTTCTAAAAAATTATAAGCCTAACCCAACATTTAGACCAAAGCGAGTCCGAAAATGTTTTTGATGAGAACATTGTCACTCTTGGATTGTTTGGTCACCATCTGTAGACTGTAGACGATGTTAACCATAAAATGAGCGCATGTATTATTTTTAAAGAATTAGAGATATGTGATTATATCTCTTTCCAAGACTTGGTATCCGATTTTTAAAGCTTCTATATGTCATAGAATCAAAGTTGCAGGATTACATCCATCGTCAATAATTATTTCAATTTTAAAACTGGATATAGAGTCATAAGCATTTTTACAGAATCACCACCCAAATAATATATATAGGGGATTCTTTACACATGCAAGAAATTTCTAATACATCTTTTTTTTATGGTAAATTTATTTTTTTTTATTTTCTACAGTTGTTTCACTTTCTACCACTATACTTTTCCAAAAGCATATGTCGACGTCTAGCTAATTTAAAAATAAACAAGTCCAAAATTATTTTAAACCAATTGATAAAACAAACCCACGCCACGAAATCTAGTCTTATTATATAAAGGAGGATGCGCACGATGAGAATGCAACACGTAGGCGAAATTCTTATTCACCTGATCGTGACATGTGTCTATTATTAATCAGACGATGACACGTGTTAAAGATAAAAATTAATTAAGAAAAAATAATATTAAAAATAGAAAAGTAACAAAATAATTGTCAAATAACTCACCAAATAGTAAAAAAGAAAAATATTTCTTATAGTTCAAACTAATTAGTCAAAAAGAAAATTTATAACATACCAAATATTAATTCAAACAAAAATTCATAATAGTCCAAACTAATTATAAAAAAAAATATATATATACTATAAACTGTAGAAAGAAAGCAAAAAGAAGTGCAAAAACAAAAAATTTAATAAACAAAAAGACGAATGATTAAACAAAAGAGATC